CTCGGCACGCTCCCGCCACAGAAATCCGCAGCTGGCCCCACAAAGGAGCTGCGTCGCACAGGAAAATCCACCCAAGCGGGCGCCTTGAACAGTAAAGCCCACTCAGCGGTTCTCCTTAGCTGTATATTTGCATGCTGATGCACCATCTACCCATGCTCATCACCGCCAGAGCGGACTATGGGAGCGCGGTGCCTTAGATCGCTAGCGCGGCCAAACGGCAGAGCGCCGCTGAAAGCACAGCGTCCCCGAGGAACGAGCGGGCCAGGCCCTGGGGAGGCGCTTACCATCGTTCCTCTGTTCTCCAGCTGATTTCCACCAAAGCCTTGCTCCCCACCCAGAGCGGGACGTGCCGTCCCGGAAGGTGGCCGTCCGACGACAGGACTTTGGTGTTGGAGCGGCGCCGTGGTTGCCGCCCAAGGGAAGGCAAAGCAGCTTCTTCTCCAACGCTCCTGGCTGGCGGAGAGAAAGGCGCGAGCATCAGAGAGGTCCAAGACCTACCCTTGCAAGGCAGGTGCCTGCCCACACTACCTTCTTATCCCAGGTGGGTCAAGATGGCGAGGAGCTCCAGACAAGCTCCTTAGCTTAGTGGGGTAGGGTGGAAATCAGGGTGCACCTCGTGGATCACTTCACTCGCAGGTCTCCTGGGAAATGCTCAGAAGCTGTTACCGCTTGTATTCGTAAAGCAGCTAGCGTGGGGGCACTGGCCACGTGTCCGGCTCCCGAGAGCTACTGCAATATATATGCGTCCTGGCTGGACAGGACGCATAACTGGCTGGACGCCCTTTTTTATTGGAGCCTGCTGCGCGGCAGGGACGAGCTTCTGCACTGCCTGTTCACGCGCGCCTGTCCTGCAGGCATGAAACCTGCTTGCATGTGCACAAGCAATGCCCCTGCCCATCATAAGAGAGGAAGCCAGGTGTCAACACCAAGCTTGTCCATCAAGCACGGGGCTCCTCTCCCCCGTGCCTGCTGTTGATCCGCCCGGGTCGGCGAGCTAGCTGCAGTGAGGCAGTGAGGACTGACCGAGGTGGCGAGGTCCCCCTTGTCCTTACCCCAACAGCACTGTGGTCATCCAGAGATTTTTACCATCATGACCATGACCCAAGATCTGCAGGAGTTTAGGAGGTACCTCGTTAAAATAAATCAAGTATACTACATATATATATATATTTTTAAGAGGACTTGTAGGTTCTGGAGATCTCTCTTCCCTTTTTACCCCCTCACCTTCCCCTCCCTCTCCCCCTGCAAATATTACAGCACACGGAGAGTAAGCTGTTGAAGGAACAGCACGCAAGGCCAGCAGGTTGCCACTGTTACTACAGTGACCAAGTTTAGAGCACACAAGTCTGGGACTGGAAGGGTCCTTTGAGGTCAATTACTATCTCCCCTGCTACTGCAACAACCATATCACGGTGTGTCGTTCATTCAAACCTGCAAGCTTCACCTGGCATTTCAGGGAGCGCTGAAGCCTCAGAACAGTTTCAGTTCCACTACCTGGGGGTTGTAAAAGGTCTGATCCCTTCTTCCTATTGAATGAAATCCTTAACGTTCAGCATCCTTCCAAAAGGTGATATTGTCCATCCATCCACTCACCTTCCAACCCCACCCCCACCCCTTCCTTCTCCTAAAAAAATTAAAAATCCTTAAAAACTTAAAATCCTTTCCCGGTCAGGTAGAACACATACATGAACATTTTCACCACGTTTTTGCCACACTTTTGCCAGCCAGAGAGCTAAAAGGCCCACTGTTCTCTGAAGCTGGTCAAGTAAATAATTCTCGGAAGAGAAGGGGAAGCCCTTCTGAGGTTAAATAATAAGACTTAACCAAAAATTTATGACCAAAATCTGATGCTGAAACGAGGATGAGGATTTTTTGGGGTCCATGTGATGCAGGAGGTTAGGTTGAAGAATCATAATGGTCCTACTCAGTCTTGGATATGAGCATGAACCAATATGGATAAGAGGTGCACCGCGTTTGGGCATTCTTTCTCATTTTCTAACAAACTAAAAGGGATGGCCAGACGGGCCAGAGGGCTACCCCGACAGCTCAGGGCTTGAGCTTTTGCTCAGACACGAGCATCTCACTATTCAGAGCTGCCTCTGTATCAGGTCCTGCTGTGGCCCCGCGTTGAGTGAGCCAGCTGCCTCCGCAGGCAGAAAGCTCATGAGCAGAGGTGGGACAGACACTAAGACTGAGTCACGTCTTTATTTATATCCTTTACAAACATTTTATTTCCAGCCAGCTCATTACAGTGAGCTCACAAAGGAACACAGGACCAGAATGGCCCTTGGGTGGCCTTCAGCTCCTGACTGTTGCAGACGCTTCATCATACAATACTTTCCCTCCCGCTGAATCTAATTGTCAGCAACTAACAAGAAAATCCCTGTTTTTTTCTTGTTTCCTGTTGTCTGATCTCTGTTTGTGTCTGTCCTTGAATTGTAAGAAGTCTCGAGAAAGGACTGTCCCTTTTCATATTTCTAGGAAGCTTTGTGTTTATGTGGTGGAGGGGCGTGTTATCGTAAGGCAAACAGCAATGGAAAGATGCTTCTCCCCGTTGGATAAAAGAGGTCATGAAAAAGGAAAGGTACCAGGGTTTTGGACTGGAAGCATGGGGGAAATCCATATAATAGCACAGGGAACGTTTCTGTGCAGTCATCCATTAAATGACAGGCACTCACGCATGCATTATGCACGCCGCTAACTGTGCTTTCTGCGTGCTATCTCACTGCATGGTGAGCCCACTCCCAGAAGGTACCGAGTCCCTTCCACTCCAAATTCAATCCTACTTTAAGAGATCAGGCAAAAAAAAAGTTTAATCTTTGTACCAGCTGATAGTGTGACTATTAAATTACAGCACACGTGGCTGATAGATTGTGTCCTCAACCGGGTCCTTTTTCGCATTGGAGATCCAAGGTAAAGCACAATTATATCACTAAAAATAGAAAGCTATATGGATCTGCCTTAGCAACATGGTCAGCTTCTGTGAGAGATGGACTTCGCTTTGCCCCACACTGCCGTCAACACTGTTTTGAGGAATGCAAAAGAGCATCAGGGTTTTGCTGCGATCGTATCTTGGTTCACTTTACAACAGAGTCTTTGAAATTGCTCATGACAGCGGTTGGATAAGGAATGAAGGGGAGGTTTTTTTTTTTTTTTCCTCTTCTTGCCAACTTATGTCAGCTCTTTCCACAGAACATGTTGAGCAAGGTGAGAAATATGCTCTGCGATCACAGAGGCCCTCGATAGACCAAACAGGATCCTACCGATTTTGCTTTCCTGCCTTTATCGTGTGCTTGAGCAACAGGGAGTATTGAAACAGCTTGCCAAGTCTGCAGAATTTTCATGCCAGTAATTCAGGAACTTCACTATTTCTTAGTATCAGTGATATCATTTGAATTGGCTAATTAGGGACATGCAATTTCTTGATACAAGTCCTGTCAGGTAGTGGGCATCTGGTGGAGAGAGGCTGCTGCATGGTAGAGCAGGATATGTCTATCCTGAATTATAATTCTCCACCTTCTAAATTGGAGGCATACTGTCTGACTATGAAAGGGGCCAGATTAGACGAGAGCATTTCCATCTAAGGACTCTGGGTATTTTGCAGAGATGTTTGACTCCCAAGTGTTAAGCAGCAATGAAGCAAGAGTAGTTTAAAATTCCCTTTGCAAAGCCTGT